TACCAGTGGGAACAAACAGAATAAGCATATAGTTCGATGAGGGACCATACTGTGCTCCACACTGATGAAAAGGAAAGATGTGGAATTTTCCATTTTTATTACTGCCAATGGTGTGTGTGTATGTGCATAAGCATGAATGTGACTATTTAAAGTCAGTGTCATATCCCAGGAGACAGAAAAAGATCCGTGGAGTCTTCTTCAAATTTCTTTGGTATAACTCAAGTTGACCGAAAAAAAAACTCTGTTAATAGCATTAAATGAGAAACACAGAGATGAAAACATTATAAAGGAATGCCTACCATAAGAGAAAAGAATATATACCAGTAAGATACTTAGATATTATGAGAGAAAACTACATTAAGATATTACTAGACAGGAAAAGCAAAAAACATATTTCAAGTGTTTACCTAATAATTATTTATTAATAAGAAACTATCAATTTTATTTATTAAATTTTAAAGAGCAAAATATAAAATTATAAAAATAACAGCAAAATTGAATTTCAAAACTTTAGTAGGACAGTTACAGTAGTTGATAATTGTGTATTGTTGCCTTGGTAGTACTGATTCAGAGTGTAAACTATAGGCAAGATTTCTAGTCCAAAAAATACATAATTTTATTTATATTTTGGAAAAAAATAAAACATGTGCAGGACCTTGTCAAAAGAACTAATGCCCTGACATCTTGAAAATCTTTCAAATATGCTTTGGAGAAAAAATAAATATATTGATAAAAATGGTACAATTATTTTTCTGTCTTATTTTACTAAAAAACAGTACTGATTAAATTTTGTCTTTCAAACAAATTTGTATTTGTAAAAATAGGTCAAAGTACCTTTAAAATCCACAAAAATATCCCTGGCAACAAAACATGGATGAAGGGGCCAGGGAGATGACTCAGTAGAATAAGCGCTTGCCTGGCAAGTGCAAGGGCCTGTGTTCAATCCCTGGTTCTGCCAATAAATAAATAAATAAATAAATAAAATAAGAACAAAACACGGATGAAACTTTATGGAGAATAATCTCCAAACTGTGATATATTGGATGAAGTTGTACATACAAGCAGGAAGCCCATGCCCCATCCCATTAGAAAGTCCCATTTCTCACTATGATCTTCTCTTCCTGGGCAGTAAAGGCTTCCTCAAAGTCATCATGCTTCTGAAGCAGGGCTTCTAATTCCACTGAATTTCCTAAGTCTTCATTTTCCAGGAAGGCCTATGAAAGAGACAAGGAGACATCCCACAGGTCTTCACTGGTAAGAAATATTTCTTTTGGAATATGACGGAGGCAAGGACTAAAGGATGTAGGCAAGAGAATTTTACAGCTAGGTAAGAATTAGCATAAATTAAAATACTATGTAGAAATTAACCTCAATAAACATAAGCTTTATACCTGCTTCCCAGTATTTGAACATAATTTTCCTTCCTTTCTACACATCTATTTGCATGAAACTCAATCAATCTAGGTAATATGTTGAGTTCTCAAAACTGCCTCAAGAGAAACACAATCTCCTCCAAGAAATCTTCTCTGATTAACACTGCCTGACTGGTTACATGCTTTTTCTTTCTGACTCTTTATCAGTTTGACATCTATTTGCCTCACGTTCACTTATGGTATATTCCTGTTTCTATGTATTATAATATCTTTCTTGCCTTTGCCCATGAGACAACTATAGATGCCTTAGAGAGAAGGTTATCTTTTATGTCATGAGTCATTTTCCAACTCCCAGAATAATCTTCAGCTCAAAGACTGGTGGGGAAGGTAAAGGAGAAATAGGAAAAGAGGTCTCTGAAGTCTGGGTGGACCCTCTGTTACCTCTTGCCTGCTCATCCAACTGTCCACTTGCTCACGGTCTCGGCAGAAGAGGTGAAAGTCCAAGCACTGCTGATACTGTTGCTGACGCTCCTCCCACAGTGCACGCAGGGCGACCCAGTTGTCGGCAAGCGTCTTCATCTGTTCAAAGAAGACATGTAATTAATTGATTGGATTCTATATTTACTGAGCATTTAATAAATCCAAAGCCTTTTGAAGGATAGGAAAATGGTAGGCAACAATGCTTTTAGTTTATGGTGTCAACAGCTAACCAGATGGCTTTATAACAGCAGAAATATGATCCATAAAAGAGGCATACCATAATTTGTATATATAAAAAAGGAGAAAATGAATAATTTTGGCCAGAAAAACTAGAAGTAAAAACCTGGGAAATTATGAGAAATTTAATATCAAATAGAAATTTAAGGAAGGAGGAACATTAGGTCTGTAGAACATATTACCTTGAGCAAATGGTATTATTGGGATCCAAAATAATTGTTAGATGATAAAATAACGGGAGAAAAAAAATGAAAGATCTTAAAGTGGTTAGATACTTCATTAAGTTTAATTTCATGGAGCAATTAAAAGTGAGGCTATAAATTTTTTTATGAGCAAGTATTGGCCAAGAAGTTTCAGGTTATTGTAGAAATTCTTATCAACTGAAAAAAGATAAAATTCTAAGAAACCTGGAATAATGATGATGATGATGATGATGATGATGATGATGATGATGATGGTGAAGATCAAGATAGTAACAATGGCTAAGCTTTCAGAGTCTCAGTGTTTTGACAAAGAAAATAAATTCATACTACAATGTTGCTACAGAATCCTACAGAAGTTAAAAATGTAGTTACTTGAACTTTAACCATCACACAAAGCTGAAGTCTGTGTTTGGAATTTATTTAGATGGAAAACAGATTAAAATCTTATTGTGACTACACTTCCAAAGAGTACCTGGGTGCTGTAATAGGGCAAAATCTGTCTGTGTCAGGTGGTTAAGGCAGGGCTCCTGTGATCCAGGAGGTTGGGCTTTCCTGATTCAGTGGAAATCTGAGTGTTTAGAATTTGAGAAGCACAGATATATGTAAAAGCAGCTTAATATTGTTATATGTAGGAGAGAATAGGAAAAGACATCATCCATGCACCACACACTGTTCTAGACACTATGAGGGACCAAAAGATTCCTAATAAGACAGAATCATTGAATTTATGCTTTGAAGATGAGCAAGGGAATGTGTCAGAACAGCACAGACAGCAAGGCAAAATGGTGCAGATGCTTCATATTAGACAGAAGATAGACAGTGAATGATAGATAGGCTCAAAGGTGAGGCCCATCAGTTTAGCTCAAGCATATATGAAAGGAAACAGTATGAACATGGGTGCAATCAGTGGTATGTTTAGAGACTTCCATCCCCTTCCTGATGTGACATTATAGTATTATTATTTTATTAAATGAGTGTCAGATATTTAATATAAATTTCACAAGTCCTGTTATACTAATTACCTTTTCCTTAATTTCTTCAGAGGCTTCGTGCTCGCTGTCCTGTAGTTCTTGACCAATCTCATCAGCAGATTGAAACCGTTCATCGTAAGAGTCAAT